TCTTTCTCTCCATCTCCCTCTCCCTCACTCTTTCTCTCTCTCTCTCTTTCTTTCTCTCTCTCTCTCTCTTTCACTCTTTCTTTCTCTCTCCCTCTCTCTCTCTCTCTCTGCTGCCCTCCACATCGCCCTTTTGAACAGTAGCTTTTCGGCTCTGATCGAGAGGCCAAATCCTAACATTTTCCATTCCAGGTATTACTTCCTAGACTTTATTTTCACCCGCTACTCCAAATGCTTGTTCATTTCTTTCGTAGTCTGTGAATGGAATTTGTATTCTGTGTCAGCATTTCAAAGGATTTTATTTCCTTCTACCATTGTCCAGCTTTCTAAGGTAGACAGGAACACGGACAGAAAGCAACGTCTTCTGAGTACTTTGCTGCTTACAATCTCACTGTTCACATATTCCTAACCTTCACAAACTTATTCCGCACCCCTCTTTGTAATGCTCCAACACATCAGCCATCTCCCGTTATCATTTATCCCCAGCACACAAGCCTGCCAACTTGCTCCATCATCCAGTTGGATCTTCATTCTGTCTTTTTGAACCTCAAGCTAGGTTCAAAGCTTCAAGGTGCAATATTGCCATGATCTCAGTGGATGTTATTAACAGGCAGGAGACAGTAAGGGACACCAGGTGCTTGAAGCTGGAGCTAATAAAATTTCTATCTTACCGATCTTACTGAGTAAACTGCTGAGAATTTCCACCATGGAGCTTAGTGATTGATGAGTGAATTGGAAGCTGAGATCAGGAACAGGTCCCTTTTAAATCTTTCCCCTCTCACCTTAAACCTATGCCCCTCCAGTTTTGGACTCCCCTACCTGGGGAAAAAGCCCTTGCCTATTCACCCTATCCATGCCCTTCATGATTTTATAAGCCTCTATAAGGTCACCCCTCAGCCTCCGACGCTCCAGGGAAAATAGCCCCAGCCTATTCAGCCTCTCCCTAAAGCTCAAACCCCCCAACCCTGGCAACATCCTTGTAAATCTTTTCTGACAATTTCCAGTTTTACAACATCCTTCCTAGAGCAGGGAGACCAGAATTGAAGACAGTATTCCAAAAGTGGCCCTAACCAATGTCCTGTACAGCCACAACATGACCCTCCCAACTCCGATACTCAATGCACTGACCAATAAAGGCAAACGTACCAAACACCTTCTTCACCGCCCTGTCTACCTGCGACTCCACTTTCAAGAAACTATGAACCCAAGGTCTCTTTGTTCAGCAACACTCCCCAGGACCTTACCATTAAGTGTATAAATCTTGCCCTGATTTGCCTTTCCAAATGCCTCACATTTATCTAAATTAAACTCCGTCTGCCACCCCTTGGCCCATCCGATCAAGATCCCGTTGTACTCTGAGGGAACCCTCTTCACTGTCCACTACAGCCTCCAATTCTGGTGTCATCCGCAAACCTACTAACCATGACCTCCTATGCTCACATCCAAATTCCCATCTCCTTCGCCATTCCTGTTCCCCCTCGTCGCCCAACCAACAGCAAAGGGCAAAATGCCTCGACGGGAATCTTCCTTCCATCTCCATTCCCCGCCGACGGCTCAAGCCCCTGGAAAAGACCCAATGGCGAGGCTGGAGGCTCTGCTTTCTGTATGGGAAAAGGCATAAATCAATTGGACATCTCCGGTGAATATAAGGTGTGTTCTCTCTCCCGGCAGGGCAGCTCACTCAGGTAGATGCTGGTGGGGACCAGATTCTCGTTGGAGTTGACCGACGCCGCTCTGTCTTTTGCGCCAACAAGAGGGCAGCGGTTTCAGCGGCCAATAGCAACAGCCCATCTTACCACACCATCCAGGGGAGAATGAAATATTACTCATGCGGGCCCAGAAGCTGCTGGGGCATTAACGCCATCGGCAACATCTATTGCCGAATTCACGTAAAGCGCAAATTTTGCACCGGGACCCATTGGGTGAGGGTGCCTGGTCGATTCTTGATGGTGGAGGTTGGCACAGATGGCACAGTCTACGGGATCGGTCTCAATGGGCAGCTCTACCGCAGGTACGGCATAGCGAGGCGGGGGGG